TTCTGAATCCTTTGTACATTTCAACGACGTTGAAGCATCATGGTCACAGCAAAATCTTACAACGCTGCAACAAGACAACAAAGGAGCCCAGGCGACTGAAGACAGTTGAGAACTCGCAGCGTATCAAAGTTAGCAACGCTGTATGTTAACTTAGACTTGCGTTTATAAGGGTGAAGCACTTTCGAGGCCTTGAAGCATTAAATTTGGTGACAGCTGTTCTAACTGCAGATACATTCAGATACTCGCGTATAAACAAACATTAAAATAAATATGTAATTGCGAGGTAGAGTACAATTTGAATGGAAAGAAAGAAATACAGCTATATATATAATCCTTCGATAGAATACCTCCTCGTTACAAGCAAGACGTATTATCGATAACCCTAACCTGACTACAGTTGGAAGACAGCTTTCAAACTCAATACAATTAGAAAGTCAGTACGCTTACGTGCACAGAATTTTAGAAGGCAACGAGTTGAGTTATTAAACAAAAAGAACACTTTCTCGGGAAGCCTTTTATTATAAAGCAAGCTCTGGACGTGTCTGTGTTTAAATTATGATTATTCTTACTTCAAGTCGTCTGGGATAATTTAGTCTCCAGACAGACAACCTTCAGTAATAATAAAAGAAAAAATTATAATGAAGACAACATTCCAGAAGTAAAATCTATTATATGTTGTCCTAGGACCTACATTCTCACATCCATATTGTTTTTATACCATATATAATATGATAATCCTCACGCATAGCTTCGGCAGTGAGCATAAAAGGGTTAGCCTCAATTCTGAAGGCGTAGTGCAGCAAAAGAGACACTTTTTACCCATCATTTCCCATTCTAACCCATACCTTCTATTATTCTGTATTACTAACCGGGGTCAACTAAAAATACAGTGTCTTAGGAAGTCCGTCATCCACACATTACTACTGAGGAGGGTCACTGGAAGAGGTCAAATAAATATACATGTCTTTACAAAGAGAATAATAATGTAACTTGTTCATGTCCCACCACAACCTGTCAAGAGGCTACCTCAAAATTCAGGGCCCCCAACCAAATTCCAAGATAAACTATAACTCTGGAATACTTGGCACAAGTCCATCATGTTAATTTATAATGCGGTAAAATAGATAATAGAGAATTCAGAAGCTAGTGCATATTTGGTACATAGTTAGATAATTGGTGAAGTTAATATATATGTATATGTGACCGGCTATAAGAAATCAAAATTACATTTACGAAGAAATAAAGAACACGTTAAATTCGGCGAATACCGGCTAGCATTTAATTCCTATTTTGAAATTTAAAAATTAAAATACGGCATTCATAATTTAGTCACAAATTCTCAAGGGAAGAGACTAGTTAATATAAACAGCGAATATGGGAAGAAAACTGGGGCGGATCGTTCATGTTTACGGGTCCTCGGCAAGGATAGTTCTTATCCGGGACAGAACCGAATCCAGTGCCTCGCAGGTATGAAGCAGGATTTTAAGCCACTGAAAAAACGACATTGTTTATAATTCACGAAACATAAAATAAGTTTGATTAACCGGTTCAAACTCGACTTAATTGCAAAGGTAATTCGAGTCTGTTAACACAATAAATAAATTAAATCAAAGGCAGTATTAAAATTACTGACCGTGTGTATAATGTGCTTTATTATACCTTATAGTTTTCAAAACCCATAACACATTAGATCTGTTTATTACTTGGTATCATAAAATTTCATGTAACTGGTTAAAATATGCCATTATTTATTATCATTGTACCAAGATAAAGGTTATTTAAGTATATTGCGCCTTGGAGTACATAATTTCTTGAGTTTCAATGGATTATGTCCTCTGGCCTCTTTCAGCTAGGAAATAATTATTCAACTTCGAAACCTCAGACATTAGGTAGGACTCTTGCGGAGATTGGCACATCGCGAGGACTACAACACACACACACAAAAACTAAATTTTGTAAAAAAGCACTTATTAGTTTCCCATGTTCATCTGCCTGTCCTTTAGTCCTCATGAAATAACTCGAGAACGATTGAATGGATCTTAATAAAATTTCATATCCGAGTGTTTGTCGACACAATCCAGTTTTTGTTTAAAAAACCGGACTACGTGCACTTTACACGAAGATCTACACACGGTTCGGCGCGCGAATATGACTGAGCTGAGGATTCCTATGTTATTCTGATTACCAAGACTACCTAGGGAATAACCGCATGAGGAATCCCAAACCGCGCAACCATTTGGGGGGATCCCTACGATGACATCATGAAACCAGACAGGCGCCAGACATCCCGCGCACGCGTAGATCATTAACATCACATAAATCGGAATTGTCAAGCTAAAAGTATATTTCCTAACTTGTTAATCTTAAAATTAGACCGTTATTCTGCGATATATGTTCCTCAATTTATGTGTTTTCGGTTTATAATGGTTGAAGACGTATCAGTTTTTCATTTACGTGACTTTAGTTCTATTTTTGTCGAGGTTACGCGGTTAGCGACAACCAATATGATGGACGACGGCGTAGCGTTGACAGAGGGTGACGGAGATGTGCTTTGTCAAAATGGTAACACAGACCTAACATTAGATGAAAACACACAGACATTTCACATACATAAATATGAATCATGTGGGATTTTAAACTGTTGTAATGAATTAGCTCTTCATTTCCGCGTTTTTCAGGAATGCATCTGCCGCGTATACTAAACTAGTCACTGTGTAGAAGGTAATAAGACTTCCCTCGGTGCATGACCCACACACAAATCGTATTGTGGAGAATCCTTCGACTGTATAGTTTGGTCTACTTTAATTAATTTAATTAATCCTTACTGTTCTTTGAGCCAAATGCGAACGTCAACATTGTAAAGTAGCCGACTGTCGCGAAATTCGGTACGGATGGTGGTTTCTTCATCAACAGCACAAATGTTGTGACCATGCTGAAGATGAGAAAACACTAACGCCTTTCAATTCAGAGTTAAAATTTTGGTTTTAATAACCTTTAAAATATTATTATTGCTGCAGTTTTATATAATCCAATCACAGCGGTCGCTCGGTTTATAACCCACGCCGTCTTAGACCGTACAAAAATTCGGATTACGGGTTCGAATCCTGCTAGACGCGTATTTTCATAATGAAACCAACGTTCAATATACTCTTCAGTGCTTCACGATTTCTAAATAAGGCCTATTACAAAATCCAAAAAAGATTGTCATCATCAAATTCCATGACGATGATACAAGCAGTGAAACGTATAAGTAGCAAAGAATTACCCAAATCCTCCATATAAATAAACATTCAAGAAACTTACACATGTACGAGGCGCGTCCACAAAGTAAGTTTTCCACTCGTCCCACAGCTAGCAAACCTTATATTGCGCGAAGCGACTGTGCGTACGTGATAGAGCAATGACGTAGCATGGCGCATGCACTAACGGTACTTCCCGCGTTCTCACAGTAGCATCGTTGCAGCTGTTGAAGATGGAGGTTCTTATTCCAGCTCCCGCCGACTGTGAAGTGCGGTCAGTGATAACGCTCGGCCGCACACGGCTCGACGGACAGCGAGTCTCCTGCAGGAGTTCAGCTGGGAGGTGTTTAATCATTCACCCTACAGCCCGGATCTCGCTCCCAGTGATTTCCATCTTTTCCTACACCTCAAGAAATTCCTGTCCGGTCAGTGTCAGCGTTTTGAGAATGACAGAGAGGCGGAGATGGTTGTCACACAGTGGTTCCAATCCCAGGCGGCCGACTTCTACGACACAGGTATTCAAAAGTTGGTCCCACGGTATGACAAATGTCTCAATTCCGGTGGCGAATATGTTGAAAAATAGCTGGACACTTGCTGTATCTGTTGCAATAAATATTTCCATGAAATTGTGTTTTGTTTCTGTAAACGGGCCCAGGGAAACTTACTTTGTGGACGAGCCTCGTATTACCTGTCGTCATGGATGATAAGTGAAAGGTATAATTCCACTTAGCATTCCAGAAGTATGTGCAGAATATCGTTCGTTCTTTTAAGACTTCAAAATCTGTTCATCAACCCGTGTTACTATTCCTAAATACGCTTGAATGATTCTCCTCACCAAGACACTTTAATTGATTCACTGAAAAAACATCGTTAATATCTGTTGCATAACATACAAGTTAAACTTTAACGAAATTACGTATGAATAATTCGTGACGTAAGATTTATTAGACAAAGCGATATTTGTTATTTGTAATTTATTTTACGAATTTATCAGCAGCTCAGACTATATAGCGTCGAATAATAGAATGGTTATTGTATGGTGAATTTTAAAGGATATGGAAGGAAGCGGTGGTGGGCTAATTTGATATAGCCGGAATTTGTCAGGGACTGAGTAAAACCATGAAAACCTCAGTCAGGATAACGAAATTTAGGCCAATAATTTAAAGATGAAGTAAAGAAGGAAGATGAGCTTGTTTGTGATGAAACGATGGAGAAAATAATGGTGATGGTGGTGAAGAAGATTGTGATTATAAAAATGAAGATTATGACAAGGAAGAATAAATATGACAAAGACAGATGAAGACAGAAAATGAGGCTGAAGAAGTTTATGAAGATATATAATAAAATTAAGAGTTTGGAAAGGTAATGTATATCCCCTACAGTTGAATCAGCGTCATTAAATAGCCTAAGAAGCGATTAGTAACATATGTTACCCTTTTGGTCTCCCATTGATTGTATCCGTCAGTAAGAGTCACGTTAGTTCTTTTCACACTAGTCAGTGTTAAGGACGTACCATCCGAGGTCATCCTGTAGGCTGTTCGTATAGTCTAAACAACCGAAAATAACAAGAAGACGTTCGAAAGGTTATCAGGCTTACAAAATAAAAGAAGAAATACTTAAAAGACAAAAAGTGGAGTGGATAGGAGGGGCAGTGCAACTGTACTTGTAACGTATGATGGGGTTTAAAAATAAAAATAAATGAATCCAGTGGATAATATTTTCCGGGTTTCGTGTTTAAAGAATATAAATACAGGACGCACTCAGGAACTTGCGGCACTCAGTCTCACCTTAGAAGCGAGAGAAGACAGTGCCTATAGCGAGTATCAAATATTTGTACAGGTAAGAATTACAACGAAAGACATCCATTGTATTTTACTGCATTACCCACAATTATATGGAATTTGTCTTAGCCACTGTAAAGAAACGCGCGGAGAGCTAAAGTCCCAGATTCTTAATCGGAAGATATTCGGTTCGAAATCTTTGGGTTATGCGGTATCCTAAATCAGGTCACCCGCGTTTTTCTGTTTTCATACAGACGGTTAGCGGAACAGAACATTCAAAGAAGGCCAAGATATCTTCTTAAATTCTCATCTAGTAACAATTAAAGATACCTGTATCACGTTTTCCAAGGGTTTTAAGCTCTTCAGTTGAAACAGGATCAATAAATAGCTTAACCTAATAATTAAATTAAAAATTAAAGTTATAAGAACATACATTAAAATGTATCTTTCGTTGTATTAATAAGAGCAACATTTATGCACTCTTCTTGCGCAAACAGAATGCAATTAAGGCAAAATTGGAAGGCGGTTTCTATTCATCTGTTCAAATACTTCATTGTCAAATCTTCTCGAGCTTACGCCCCTACTAGGTTCAAATATTCCCGTGAAAACCCTCATCTAAAACACCCTCAATCTGTGTTGGTCTCTTGAAACAATGACCCGTCGTACAAAACAATGGTGCATAACGTGAAGTATATACAGATATTATATGCAATTTGTATTTAAAAATATTCAATATGTGCAAATTTCACGAAATACGAGGAAACAATTTCTGAGTACGCAGTGTGACATGATGAGTTAGACTAGCATCTGCAATAAATTAACATTTAAGTCTTCGGACTTCCAGACTATCTCCGCTCCGTATGCTGCTTTGATGTTCTACCTGCGCATAGCCAATTTGCATGTTCTCAAGTCTTCACTGACACTAATATTATTTAAAACCCTTAATCGCTTTCAGATTTCTGTATATCTGTTAATCTAGTCTTGTAATACCCCGTATACATCGTATAAACGTGTTTTTTTTTTTACATCTTCTATAACCAGACCTCAGTATCATATTTCAAAGTTGCTTCTAATATAATTTTTGTTCTTACTTTTGTTTAGTTCAAATCTGCCAGAAGTTATCATAATAATGTCCTTTATATTACACTAAGATTTTGAATTTCTGACCATATGTCGTCTGACAAGTTACATTAAGTCTATGTCTCAAATAACAACTTCAAGATTCGTATCTCTGATAGTTAATAAACTAAACTGTAAAGGAAAAGTGAGAGAGAGACTATTTGAAAATAAAATAAAATAAAATTATATTCAACTCTAAGACCGCGATATCCACGTAGTGGTACAGAAGCACAGTGACACTCCAAATAACGTATTATGCTGAACATGTGTGTGCGTTTAAGTGTGTGTGTCAGAGAGCGAGGGAATGCATAATTACAATATACTGATATAATTTTCATACTTCACTACGCTGTTATGTAACCTAAGTTCTAATATAAATCATATTTCATAAAAATATTGACAAATTAAAAATATTATATGCGAGTAATAAATAACTAGAGCGACAGACAAATAAAACAATAATATATGATGTTGTCACGATGGCGAAGATCTCGATGTTGACCTGGGTTGAAACTACGCGTAGACTTGTAGGAAGATACCAGTTTCTTTAAGAAACCTATTGTCTTCATCTTCAGGGCCTTGGGCCTAAACCCCCTTGGGATCTGGTCCCGACCCCGAAGCATCTGTTAGGATTGAGCTTGTGGGGTCGGCCCCTTGGGCCCAACCAGCCCTGACGATGGCGGCAGTATGTTCTTCCGAAACGTTACTTACCTACAAATCCACGCGGCGTTATTACCCATAAGACTAACATTGGCGAGTAAGACCAGTATGTAGCTAATATACAAGAAATAAATATGGAAAGTAATGTAACTGAAAATTCTGAAACGCGTAATTAATAAGTCGATGAGATATTTGGTGGTGGTAGTTTTAACACCAATTATCAAAACAGAACTGAACACGTTTCAAATGTGTAAAACTACTCTGTGTTCAAAATGTCTCGCCATTCTAGTTCCCATAATTCGGTGTGAATCGCAGCTTGAATTTTATGACGTTCCAGGATGCACAATGCGGAACTCTACAGTTCGTCCCACGGGCTTCAGAAGAGAGACGCCGTCCAGGTACTAACGGAGTACATAGACTCCATGAACTGGAAGCCTGGGGACCGAATACTTGACGTGGGTTGTGGTCCAGGGTTCGTGACCTCGCAAGAGTTAATGCCCCGATTGCCAGCAGACTTCGGGCTGCTGGTGGGAGCAGACGTATCACCCAGCATGGTGCAACACGCCTCCAAAATGTACACGCACCCGAAACTGAGATTCGTAGAATTCGACCTAAGCAAGGACTTACGAAGTACCTCCGAACTGTGGACACAGGGCTTCGACAAGATCTTCTCCTTCTACTGCCTCCATTGGATTCCTGATCACAGGTACGACACGCCAGCGAAATCACGATTTTGTGTGGTCCGAATATTTCTGATGATGGCGCAATTTAATCCGCGAAATTGTTCTACTGGACTCTGTCCATTGTCTAAATTGTAAAACTGAAACGTTTCGCAACCTGGATTCTACTTCCGTCTTCAGGTCAGAAAAAATATGAAGCCTTAGACCTCAGGCCTGAGGCTAGCTCATCGACGGGTTCTAACAGATAGGACTTATGTCCTCTACGCCTTTTTCACCTGAATACGGAAGCAGAACACAACTTCCGAAACGATGTAATTTAATTATTTTATAATTTAGAAAATGGGTCATATCCAAGAAAATAATTTTACAGATTAACCACGATTTTATCCCTAAGTAATTTCCTTATTTTATATTTAGAGATACATTTATGGTATTGTTATATCCGTCTGACTTAAGTCCCTTTTCGTTCAAGATAATTTTCGTGTCACAGTAAACCACGTTAACTTTGTACTTATTAATTGTATGATATCAATTCATTGTAGCATAGAAATCGTTCCAATTTTCACCATGGGAGTGCCACTAGCTCTACTTCATATATGATCCTGAAATGCACGATAATACTCGAAAAATGTTAACCGTCGGTTGTATAATTTTTTCCAGAATGTAAATCGACGTGATGGTCACGCAAAATCTCTATTCATATTTCGGTTTGGTGGCAATAACTAATCAAAATTAAAGCAAGACATGTGAAATTTTGGATAAAAATAAATATGACAGCGGATGAGAACTTTGTGATAAATTTAAGTCAGTCGAAATATGTTCTAGTACAAACAGCGCATATAAATCGATCTCCAAAGAGCAAATTTTTTAATTTGTAGTTGTCGCCAAATACATTAATACCTTAATAGCAGGAACCGAGATTTCAACAGCACTAAAACCGACGTCCCCTACTAGGCAAGTTCCTGAACTAATTTCATCCAACTTCCTTCCTCCTGACATCAATCCATCCAACAACTTCCCTCAGATCCACGATAATAATGTCTTCATATCCTTATCAGTACTTCAAGTGGACTTTCTCTAGGACATTTTCTAGCCAATGTTCCTTATATTTATTACCTCGGCCATGCACCTAGTCCGTTTAAGCTTTCTAGAATTCAGAATAAAGAAATCATAATATTCCTTGTAGCCCCGCCATATATACTGAACCTTGATTCTTCCTGTACGTCGCCTAGTTCGTTTAAGCTTTCTAGAATTCAGAATTAAGAAATCATAATATTCCTTGTAACCCTGTCATATGTACTGAACCTTGATTCTTCCTGTACGTCACTTTTCACACACTGTCCATTCATTTGAATAAAATGTTTCGATCCAATTTGGCCATCATCACGTTCAATTCTACAAGAACAGGGTACCACAACACTTACAGCTCAGATCAAACAAACCGGAATTCACCAAGACGTGCAAAAATATTTTTAAAAACTATTAACAATTTTTAAATTTAAACAAATAACATTTTTTCATATTTTTAACTTCTTAACTCTTTTAAAACGTTTTAACACACAGTTTAAACATTATTTCAGGACATTACATTACAGACTTGATACACACTGAACATCTGAACAGTAGCATTCGTCACAACTTTTTATTTCGTTACGAAAGAGTTTGCTGGTCATTAAATACACATTCATACAGACTGAATAACGTTGGACATATTATTGGAAGCCACCACTAAAAATGTCGTTAACTACTAAAATTAATTTATTTTAAACTGTGCTGTAACAGCCATGAAATATTGTAATAAGCACCTAATAACTTAAAATGTTGTTTCAAAATATTCATTAACCGATCGCAGAGGCCGTGAGATCTGAGGCGCGGGCCTTGTTCTCTTGAACACTGGGATCGTGTGTTCGAATCCCACTCAACGCATGGATGTTGTCCTGGAGAGAGGTAGATGCCTTGCGACTGGCTCACTCAGTGTCTAAAAGAGATCAAGTAACCTTCCATATGGGAATAGGCCTAGGCCCCTCAAGGGCTATACATCCAAATATAACAAAAATATTCGTTAAATTTTGTGAAAAATATGTATTCTATAAAATTTTCTATTTAACATGCGTATTAAATTTCGGACAGTAATATTCCTATTTATTATTTTTCGCCCATCAAGTATTATGCCCTCTTGTCTGTATAAATTGATAATTAATTCGGAAACTATAAATCTTTTAGACGTTTGGCAGGTCTCACTGAGTGGGAACTCGACCCATCACGAGGCCTCTTCTCACAGAAAATTGCAGGCATTGTATTAGGCTACCGTAGAAATGAAAACAGCTGAAAAGTGGCATTCCACCTTCATCGCCGCATAATTCAAAACGTGGGATGTATATAATCTTATTTCCACGACTTTTATTTATTAAGTATGTTGTGTGTCTATTTATATTTAATAAGTGGTTAATTTCGTAACTATTTCAACCCTGGCTCCACTCGTACCTGGACAATTTGGACCTTTATTTTTAAAAAGTATTATCCACATTTTAATGTACTTACGTATGTGCCAAAACAGGGTCCCTTCTTCGAAATCCTACTAACAAGATTTGTGTCTCTGAGACTCCGCATTCATATTGAGTAATTTTCTTCCGAAACCTCTTGCTAGTGGTAATGTGTAGAACCTGTGAAAATTAAATACACAGTCTTAAAAAAGGATATTCATTTATGAATCATATATATCTGTTATTAGCAAAGGTTTTAAAAACATAGAAAATAGCACGGCTGTCTCGCTAAATTCAAAAGACAACGAACGGTATTATTGATATGTTGAATGTTTATTGTGTTTTAATCAGAACACTTGAAGATGAGAGGCCATTTGGAAGACAAATGCAAATGGGAAGACAATATTAAAACGGATTATAAAGAAACAGTGTTAGAGTTTGGACTGGATTTGTTTGACTCAGAATAAAAATCAGGAATATGCTCCATAGACTTATACATATGATATAAACTCCTCCAGTAGTAGTTGAATGTTATTAAAGCATGTTAATTTAGTTTCAAACATAGTTTGCTTTATTTAAAATAACAATTAATTTGGGAATTTTTGACTACTTCAGTGTGTTATCTGCTTTCCAATAAGGACTCTGATCAATGGAGCTAGTTTAGTTTCATAAACAACATAGAACGTTATAAATTAATACTATCCTTACATTCTATACTGCGTTTTGTTTAACCACCAGGAAAGCTGTTAGTAACATATACAACTTGCTACGAACTGGGGGAGAAACCCTTCTTGTGTTCCTGGCTAAGTGTCCAGCATTCAAAGTATACAGCGCCCAGAGACTGAAACCAGAGTGGCAACCCTACATGGAGGTGAGGATATCATACTTTAGTTGAATGAACCACGAATTCGACATTGGACACTGGACGACATCGGAAACATTACTTTAATTGCGTAAATTAAAAAACAGACCTACTAATCAGATTTTGGACTACGTCAACTTCTTAGCAGACGGGTCACAAAAGAGGGTTCAATATCATCGTTTATCAAAGCACCCACAAAGAGAATCTATTGAAATTCAAGCGGTTAAAAGTGTGCACCAGGCTGCAGAACACAGAGCTTTAAAATACGTCACTCGTGAGAAAAGTGTGCACCAGGCTGCAAAAAACAGAGCTTTAAAATACGTCACTCGTGATATTATAATATTATTGGTCTTAATGGTTATTTATTACACATATAAGATTACAGTTGACAGACCTATCATCAATACAGAAATTACACTGCATAAGCAAAATTTATTTCATTTCTTGTAATTAACTCGATGGAGCAAAACCCTTCTTGAGAAGCTAATAGTAGTTCATCTTGTGAATAAATTCCCCAAGTGTAGCACTACCCTGCTCGCAGAGGCTTGCCATAGGTCCTTATCTAGGGACCTATCGATCCTGTCTACACCATCTTTCATTAAACATTCGATTCAAGCTTAAGAAAAAATAGGAGTTATAGAGAAGCCATAATTATATTTTCAAGTCTTTTCGTGCAGATTCTCAGCGACAGTCTCAATGAAATCCATTACGTAATTTGAGATAATAAACTGCGAACGGACAGACATACAGACGGATATGAATTCCCCATCATGCGTTTACTTTAAGACCGTGTAATAAGTCAAGAAGTGTGCGAGTAGAGTAACAATTCTAACGCGTTCGCCACATTTTAACCGTTGACCTTTAGCCAAGGTAATCACAGTAACCATGGTTACCAAGGTACTCAAAATCACTAAGACGCACAGAAAAGCGCGAAGGCTATTCTTGTAAACAGCCCGTTCTTTTTGTCCGATTTCAACCAAAATTGAAACACTTCGATAAATTTTAATATAATTACGCGATATCAAATTTCATAAAAATCCGTTTACCCGTTCTCGAATTGTTTTATTCTGACTTACAGACGGACAGAGAAGCTTTAATAAACGCTCCGCAGAGATGATAACATGCCAAAAAGCGCATTATAAAATGCTGACGAACATAATTAAGTCAGTGAGAAAATAAAACAGTTCTTTATCCTTCAGATGGTAGCATTAATCGTGATAACTGTGATTGCCATCTTTAAGGCAGTTTTTCCATCTCTGCCAGTCTCTAAATCGCAATAAACAAATAACATTCCTA